TGATGGGGCCCAGGCCCGGTGACGGGTGGATCAATATTGGCATGGGGGTTATTAACCATCAAACATGAAACATTTCATTCGCTAATTAATCTTTTCCCAAAAATTGTTGGGGGAGGGGGTTAAAAATATCCGGACATACCACTTTTCTGTAACTTTCGAATTATTGTCCGTAATTTGAGTTAAATATTTCGGTAATATTTTCGTATATTTACATTTTAAAATTTAAATTGTAATATTTTAATCCTAGTTTCCAAAATTCCATCTTAGCGGTCATACTGCAACATCAACGAGCGTTCCTTGCTGCAGATTACTGACACCGAACCAATCACTATCGTGTATTTTAAAGTTAAGCCACTATTTAACTAATATAAGAGTTTTATATACAACCGACTTCAGGCAGTTCCACATGCATCTGTCTTAATTAACATAATCTGCCATAGGCTATAATACGCAACTTAGCAACCGTTTACACCTTAACAGGGAATTTTTATAAAACCAAGCTATTGTTCGATCAGTAACATTAAACGATCACAACGTAATATTTTTCTGCCATATCTTCACTATATATACTCACGTTCAGTAATAGCAAATATTTCATCAATGCGTGTCTATAGGCGTGTGTCTATACTCAATTTCTGGAATCTGAATTTTGCAAACCTTAATTAATTCAGAACTTTAATTGTGGGGAAATTAATCTTGTCAAAACAATCAACTTGAAAGACAGCGTTGTTTTTGAGATAACAATTAATATTAAAGATTTTAGCTTATAGAATTGGACACACATTTTAATTTTGAGGCAGTATTGTTATCATCATGGATGTAAACTCTTCTCTTTGGCAAATTTGCAGCTTCCATCAAAGGAAATTCCAACTTCCTCTTGGATTTCCATCAAAGGGTTACTACATCAATTATGTTATGACTTGCATTGTGAATATACTTCTGACTATATCGACAGTGTCCTTAAATACAGTCACAATCCTTGCTTATTGGCGATCGAAAGAACTGAGAAAAAAGACTTCATATTTCTTAATTATGTTGTTATCCTTCGTTGATCTAGCTACTGGATTACTGGGGAATTCATGCTTCGTATTACTGTCGATAAAAATACTAATGCACGATCCCGATTGCAGGGTTTATATATTTTTGGAAAACATATCTTTATCTTTAGCTGGTATGTCTTTTATGACGTTGCTTTTGCTCAACGTTGACAGGTACATTTGTATTGTCCATCCGATTTACCATCGAAATAAGGTAACGAAGTTTAAACTCTTTATTAGCGCCGTGGTTTTATGGAGTTGTGCTATAGCGTCAACGTTACTGCGTTTATTTCTGAACAAGGTTGGAAGAACTTTGACAAGCATTGTTATATCAGTAACTTTTATTGCGTTCATTTACATTTACGCAATAATATTTCGTACCAGTCGAAAAGTAAGACGCACTTCGAAACGGAATACGACTGACATTATCGCAAGCAATGCACAGGATCTTAAAGTAGCAAAATCCTGTGCAATTGTTGTAGGTTGTACATTTCTTTGCGTAATTCCGTTTGCAGTGACAAACGCTCTGGCACCGTTCACATTTTTTACATTCTCACTGGCGTATTGGAGTTGCACCTTAGGTCTTGCTTCTTCTACTTTGAACTCGCTTATCTTCTTTTGGAGAAATCCTGCTTTAAGGACTGAAGCAAAATTACTTCTACGAGCTGTATACACCAGTGGAAGTCAGACTGGCCCAGCAACCGAGATAACCTACTGAGCGAAATCTTGCCGTCTCATTGTATCTTTAGTGTACTGTAAATATTTTACGCTTCTGTGGAAAGATCGCGGCAATAGGCTGGCAGGCCTGCCGAGATTTGACTTGAAACAAGCGAGATATTGACAGGTAGGATAAAATTCCTAACATAACACTCGATAACTCGACGGCTGGCCCGGATGCCGATATGAAAATGAAATGAGATGTTCCGCTCTGCCTAACTATTTTAAATATAAGAACGGCATGGTCTAAGTCCATATCGCTTGTTGGGATGTCTCTCTTACTGAGGCAAAGTCGCGTACAAAGAATATCGAGACATCGCGAGAATATTGATAGTGAATAGAAAGGAAAAAACATAACGACAAAGATCAATAGCATTTTCAGCGGCCAAAAAATATAGACAATCAGGAGGAGTTTGAGAGAGTGTAATTGGTCGACCTTATTATGAAGTCCTGATGACGACTTGAGACTATATACAGTACAAGCAGTTATGTTATTAATATTCTTACTATTATTAGTATGCAAACAAGATCTTAATTAATCAGCAGTTGCACGAGAAGGCACGCGACACATAAGGAGAGCGTTGCAAGGATAATTTTGAAGTAATTGACATTTTAAATTACAAAGTCAGATGTTAACGTAAATAATAATCATGCAGGCACAAGTTATTTTTAACATTTTTGTGCGCTTAAGATTACCAATACATGAAACGCAAAAGTGATCAGAATTAAACTGTGTAATACCATTTTTCGAGTGACAAACTTTCTAGCACCATTCCCATCTGCCAAAGTGATAATTCGCGTGGATATTAACACGATAAACGTTCCCAAAATAAGATAACGTATCCGCTTTTAATCCAAGGCAGATATGGTATTTAAAGACAAGATAAGTGTTTTCTTGACGGCGATGATTTTTAAAGACAAGATAAGCGTTTTTTAGAAATGCAGATAAGATTTTCCAGGGCAGGATAAGCGGTTTATAAATCATATCCACATAAACACATGGGAAAAATGCTCGTCCATTCATCCGTCAGTTCTTCTGTCAATCCGTCTATCCGTTCGCCAACCATTCGTTTGAAATCCAGCCATCCACCTGTCCATCTATCCGTCCGTCCGTCATCTATCCGTCTGTCCATTCATCCGCAACCCTATTGTTTTTCCCGCTGTCTCACGTTTGTGGCATACCTGCTTCATATAAACAGTCCATCAGCCATGTTTTCAGAATACCCGCAATATATAATACCCATAGTGTATATTTTGTCACTATAGCAATTCCCACCACCTGTTGTGTATGTTTATAAATCCATACCGTGTGCGTATATACATCCTTATAATTGCTACTTAATGAATCCTACATACCCATTAATTAACACGTTGCATATTCTATTTTTGTCTTTTATATCTCAACTATAAAACATGGTGTATAACGCAAATCGTGTTATATTAGCACTAAACAAAACTAATAGTCTCCTTTCACGGCTGATTTTCACACCCAAAGAGCTGGTTTGTTTGTGTATACTCAAATAGTGAGACAAGTTGGTTGCTTACTTTAAATTTAATTAGTTATGGTAGTATGCTCAGATATCTGTCGTCTACATATCTATATATTTTGTCTGTAATCAGTAACTAAGGGACAGTAAGAATTTTGGTCTGCAGGATAGTGGTCGGCCCTTATCTGTATAATCATGCCACATATTCCAATCCATTTAAATGAATTAATTAAAAAGAGCCAACAATGCACAATTAAAGCTAGTTCATCTAACACACAGACATGCACTTGCATGACCAAGTTTGATAACTTGATTTTAATTAATAATCCTTTTTGATGATAGCTATACAGTATATTGCAATCAAGTATAATAGTGAAGTATGGCATAGTGCATGTTTCATCAGGTAATTCTTGTAACATAGATGCAACAATGCTACTTCAACAATGCTACTTCACTGTTATATTTTATATCATACATGCGCGCAAGAATGTTCCCAAATTTCATGCTGGTTATTTTTTGGAGAATATTTCATACTTCGTACTGAGTATTATTTGAGAATATTTCGTACTGAGTATTCAAAGTCAGATTGCGCAGGCAAACCATATATATTTTGACGCAGCAAATTAAGACCTGAAGATTCTCGTTTACGAGCAACTCCCGAATTGTAGGCGGCAAATTCCTACATGCTTTTGGCCAAAGTTCAATACAATTTCTACGGATAATTCAGACACTAATTTATGCTTCGATTTTATTACCAAATAATACGGCTTATACAATTGTCCTCACAATCCGATTCAACGTTTGCTGTTATCCGTTAGCGGTTTGCCGCCAACATGGATACTGACATATTGCACCTACCTCATCTACCTCTTTGCAGTTTATAAAAGAACTCTTTCAACTATTTATGTAGCTTTGAGAGTATTTTTTATTGCAAAGAGGTAGCCTAGCATTACTTAGCAACAAGTTGCTTTGTGACGACAGTGAAAAGTGGGCAGAAATTTCGAGTTTGTCTATAAACTTAAATTTATCAATAACATACGCTGGTTCGTGCTCATTACCCTCCACAAAAAAAATTAAATTAACGTTCCACTGTAAAGTCGACCGAGATTAATACCGCGTACTAACTTATAATTAAGCATGCCAATAACCAAGCTCATTAGACTGACGGCCGCAAAACTGGTCTCGGTCGTAAGTCTAATTTACGCCTTTTCGCCAGATGAGATACTGTTTATATACTGTATATGGTAATGCATTGAAGTAAGCTAGTGGCACATATTGCATCGTGTCATAAAATGTCAAAGGATAATGAAAACAACAAGAACATTATATGATCCTTATAACGGAATCTTTATGGTGTAACCAAATTACGATATTATGGGCTTAACTGATCGAGACCACTTTCCTTCTGACACAAAATTCGCATTACTCCTTATGACAAAGGCCATGACGGATCATGTGGCGCTTCGTGAGCCGCTCTATTAAGAGGCATCACTTAATTATTGGGTGAAATGTCTCAAGGGTTGTGTCCACGATCCTAGCTGTATATAGTACATAATTGTTTCTTAAACTGAATTTCTGTTGCAATATGCATTCATATTTGACTACTACTATATGCTGTGAAACTCGAACGCGAAGCGGCAAAATTAATAGCCGTGACTTAATATAGCCTAGCTTATATACTTTAATACATCGTATCTTTCTCATTTACTGCAATCCCCCGGTGAGATATTTTATAAGATCGAGCTAGTGGATGAATAAACCGGCCGCAAACTGGATCAAATGATTGATAATATTAAAAATTAATCCAAACAAAAATCTTGCAAAGAGAATTTTATGACGTAAACTGCATGCAAGCCAGGAAGCATAGTCGTGACTCCGCTCCCTGGCTTGCCTTTTAGTATATCGGAGTATATACTGGCAACTTGCTGCCTGCCTATAGATCAGGAGTTTGATTATCGCATATAATACGGAACATCACAATGCAAGGAAGGGAAGTACACTGCAAGAAATCCTTGTGTCTTTTGAGTCCGAGACCTATGTGAAATAATGCACCCACAATGACTCGAAATGAGTCAATTCCGTAAATTGATGAGCAAATTTACTCATTGACACTTTTTTGAGTGTAAAAGTTTCACATGTAGCTATTCGGCAATGTTTTGAGTAAAGACTTACTTCGCTAAAAAAATGAGTAATTTGTTCAGAAATTATACTGATGATATTTTGAGTTATTGTGGGTGAATTATTTTACTCAAGCTAAAGTTTTTACTGAGCATTATACACTCTAATTCTTTAATTCTTATGGACCATGCAAATCAACGTTTTCTTCTCGAAGTCCCTAATGTTTCAGCTGTGGCCTGTGGTATTTGAGAATTGTAGACCGGCATTTACTTTCAAATAAACTAAGAAGATTGTTGGTTTATCGTCCAATTCTATTTTGTATCAACACCACTTTAATTGATGAATTGCATGGACTATGCTATAGGACAAATAATAAATTATACCGAACGAACTGTACAACAAGAATTACTTATATGTTACATGCAGTTCATTCCTTGCATTTGTCCTTTGTGTGCTCGCCATTTCTCTTCATAGTTCTTTTTTAATTCTATTGGCATTGCAGTCTCCTTAAACGCGATTCTTCCTCCAACATTGAGAGTTAACGTTCATTCATTTACTGGTACTGTTATACTAAGTATATCACTGTAGCTCAGCTGTTCTCATCAGTCACTTGAACTCTTTTAACGCCTCGTTCGGAACTACCCGGAAGTTCACTAACATGACTGTTTCTTATGTCTTCTGCAGATTCATTTGTGTCCACTTTGAGAACTAAATCAAGTTGAAACGAAACTAAATTGTTCGTCAAATCTCGCACATTATTGTCAAATTTAATCCGTTTCAAATCGTGACAAAATTCGTCCGATGCACTCCGCTTCATTCCCTCGCGAAAACTTAAATTAAGTTCATCATTTTCGTCCGAATCACTTTCATCTTCAGACCAGCTCTCGTTTGATTCACAAATAATATCCTCGAGAGAAGGCTTGGATAACGTAGTCTTTGTAGAATAACTGCAATTTTCCACACAATCCTTTTGAGCCGCAATAATATCGATAATCTTCATATTTATATTGTGTAAATATTAAATCTCTGTTCTTTGTATACAAAGTTGCATCACACAATTGTGCTAATATATTACTTGATTTACACCCTCAGTGCAGAAGCGAAAATAACAGCTCTTTCCCTTCAGAGCACTAGCTATTACGACCAATACGTTTTGTTATTTGAATATACCAGGCACTTATGTCCCTTTGGCACTTTTCATCACGTTTCATGTTTACTGCGCGACAGCAAATTACAAAGACCTCTTTAAAGTGGTGTTATTAAAATTGAAAGAAAGGCTGTCTAATTCATTTCAAATGTTAGAGCGAATCCACGACAACGTGTCCGTGCTTTGTTGAACTGCCTCCTGATTGGATAATGGCAACAATAATCACAGCTGTTGCCGTCCGCATCAAGGTGATGTTTGAAATCACTTGGCAACGGAAGTCAACACGGAACCTTCTTTATCAGCCGTGAAATTGTCAGAGCTTTGGCCATTCTAGCAATTTTGAAGCCATTCAAGCTCAGCTAAACTTTTATGAGAAGTATTACCACAAGAGTGTAGACAAACGATCCGTGGAATATCTTAATACTAAAATAATTCAAATATCATCGTTGCTATTTATTTATCGTCATAGCTACCGGTTGTCAACTGAATATACGTTTCAATAACAAAGAGACACGAGAAATGTCACAAAGCATGAAAACAAAGAAATCTACATGAAGTCTTGGCAAGATTAGCATATATATTTATACAGATATGGGCTTTGCACTAGACTAATTTCAGAAGGTCGTATATAGCACAGGGTGAGCGATTGATTACGGCTAACTCTTGTATGTATTGCATGGGTATTATTATAACTGGCGATGAATGAGTATTTGCATGAACTCACTATTATACCACATTATATTGAATAAATCACGAGATGTCTATTCCAAACACGTCAGCTGAAGATTGCATTCAAAATGAGCTTCTCAGTAAATATATTGTGAGAGTATCTCGACTGGCTCCACCTGCCTTGTATACTTTTAAATAATATCCACAATCGATTGCGGAGGAAGCTTTAAGCTATATTATAGGTCATTCAATGTTATATGTGAATTTGATCGCGCGTTGCCGTGATGTCGCGTTTAAAAAGTCCTGTGTGATGAGTAACTAATGGTGGTGAGTTATAAACGCTGAAAACTTGCTCTAAATTCGCGGGGGTTTTGTTAGTTTTTTCGTATAATTTATGTTTTAGAAAAACGCATGTAAGCGATCAACTGAATATTTAGCCGACATTCTTCATGTTATATGTCAGTGTATTTGCAATGTTATGCATTGCAAATACGCATTAGCTTTTACTCGAGATACAAAGTTGAGTATATTATAAGAATTTTCCCACGAGTTCATAAAAATGCAGCCCCATTTAACATTGCAAATATACAGTAATATATAATATGAAGAATTTTAGTCAAATATTCAGTTGAGCATTGACGATCGTTTGTACGCATTTTGCTAAAACAGATCGAAATTATTCGACAAAAGCTGTCTTTTACCAACGCCCCCCACCCACACACACACACACATACACACACACACTTAGGAAAGTTTTCGACTCACGACCTTTACCCACAATGCACGACTTTTTATCCACGAGGCACAATTAACACACTCCAAAACTCAAACTCATGTGTCAATGTCAATGAGTATGGCCACCCGGCTACCTATTTATACTAACAGATGGATACTGGCCGTATGAACAACTTGGGCAAAGAATAATAATCATGCAATTCGTCTGATAACCGATGCATAGGTGCATAATCATCGGTCAAGACCATAGCCTAACTCATAAACTACTGCATCTTGTAAGCAAACAAAAATATGAGCTATTGAAGCAAATGAAGTTCAAGGCAACAAATTAAGTTCATAATTCAGTATCTATCTGATATCTATCTATCAAAGGTTATCAATATTTCGACTTACAATGACTTTAAGATTCAGTTGAGTCGAAATAAATTATGACCTTGAATTTTGTTGTTTTGTTTCAATAGCTCGTAGTATCGTGAGTTTACAAATGATAGTGTCTTATCTTGTATTTCATGTCCACTCATGATCTACATGATTCCTGACTTGCGAAATAACTGACTATTGTAGAACTGCCCATGCGCAGACGATGCGCATGAATGACTTTGGCTCATAAATTTCGCAACACAACAGACAACACGTGTATTTATAAAGTCATTTTACTTATACATAAATTTTCAAACATCAATTCTACAATTGATCAACTGAATTGACACTATACCACTGATTGTGAACGTTAGCGATATGGAAAAAATCACTCGAATAGCGCTCTTACACTTAGTGATATAAAATAGACTCCAGTTTCAAAGGTAATTATGCTATCGTGAGTTGGCCGTTTAGATTTGGTGATGTGTATATTAGAAACATAACGTATTTCGCGGTCACGACCACACAATTCGCTTTGAAATTTAAAGTGTTTGTGATTGAAACTTAGCGATGTCGATTTGAAATATATAACGAAGTATTAGAAATTAACATCATGATTATTTTATCTAAAATCTAAAAGACAGTTTTGGCAGACATATAATTTAGGAAGTGTCATGTATTTCGCGCCTGCACGCGCGAAATTTCTGACCCGTCACGCTTGTTCAGGTATTTCGCAGAGGTCAGGAATTTCGCTTGACACCGGATGCGGAATCGCGGAAACACAGAAACAGGCAAATAGGTAAAAAAAACACCGCGTCAGGGAACAAAACAAAGGAACCTATAAAACACCTTGGTCAAATTTAATAAAGTTCCTCCTGCTCGTACGGGCTATAATTGTACATCTAACACAAAATTGGCAACTATGTTCAAAACGCAAAGCGTTCCATTATATTTTTCACTCAAAACAGCTGGAGAAATTCAGCATGAGTTCCACCTTTGAATTTACTATATGAGTAAATTCTTAAACACGTCCGAATTTATCATTATGATAAATTCGCGGCAAATTTTGAATTTATCATAATAATAAATTCGCGGCACCTAACAGTAACACTAACCCTAACCCCAACCCTAACCACTAACCCCTAACCCTAACCCCTAACCACTAACCACAAACCCCTAATTTTTTTAACTTTTTAAATTTTTTAAAATTTTTTTAATTTTTTAAAAAATCTAACTTTTTAAACTTTTCTTGCTTTTCAAAACTCTTTTAAAACTTTTTAAAACTCTTTTAAAAACTATTTTTTAGAAAAAATTGAAAAACTTTAGTGCCATTACATTTATAAACGGGATACCTTGTGCAATGCTTGTAGTTTTATGATTAACTCTATTGATAAATTCAAAATGTGCCGCGAATTTATCATAATATGATAAATTCGGACGTGTTCAAGAATTTACTCATATAGTAAATTCAAAGGAGGAGCTCATGTTGGAAGAATTGTACTTGAAGAAAATCTGCTGAATATGACAAGCTTGAAACGCGAAAACGGGATAACACAAAGCATAAGAAATGCTTCGACTTTTCAAGAGCAGGCCTTTCGTCGGGAAGTTATAGTAGCGGGAATTGTGAAAATTACATGAGGTTTTATACTAGTGAAGGTAAAATTGATCACGTGACAAAAATAAACCAATCACAAAGGTTTAATGAAAACAAAATGTAAACAAAATATGTAACCACATATTCAGAATATGTTAATACGGATACACGAAAAACTACAGCAAAAAATACAGATGAAATAAGCGTGGAATAAGTTGACTGATCAAAAGTACTGTCGATGTCTGTTTGTGCCAAGCAAGTAGTGCTAAACTTAAGAAAATCTAAACTAAACGTAAGAAAATCTAACATTACTATCATAGTGGATGGAGTACCGATGGCGGCAAAGCAAAGTTTGGAAATGAGTTACATTTCATGCCATCTGCGGCTATCATTGCTGTCAGAAATGGGACAGAGAGCATGTCACATCTACTGCATGAGATGCGTAGTAGTATAATTTTATTTGCATGTCCTAAAATGGCAGATATTGCTAAAGGGGGTCTATACTATAGGGGGAGGTTGGGGGGGGGGGCGTTTCCCTTTTGCGTTAACCCCAAGAATTTTCTTTGCGAAAACCGTAACCGTCATTTCAGTTAACATTTTAGAGGCTAGTTGGACGTGTTTGTTGATTTTAAATAATTATTTAATACATAACAACTCCACTTACTCACGAACTAATACTACGAATGAAAATGTGACGAAAATTTTTTGTTCTGGTCAGACATTTTTGAAGGGGGCCCACAATTTCTCCAGGAGGGGTGGAACGTGCCCCCCTCCCCTCTGTATGCATCTATATATAGTGCAACCTTACCTTTAGCACGTATTATGTACTGTAGATAACATATAGTTTCCCAAGGGCGAGATCCACGTAATCTGTCGGTTTATTTTGCTTGCACCACATATGTATATATTTATGTAACCTTCGTTTCAAACGTTTCTGACAGTATTTATATGATTTGGGTACCTAATATAGCTTGCAAACCCAAAAAGAACTACAAGAATACTCTATTTTACTCGATTGAAATGTCATAGATTTATTTAATTTAATTTACATATCATCTAAACCACGTAGAAATAAGCTAAAAAAGTTGTAGAGTAACTTATTTTACAGGTTTACGGCATGTTCTTTCAAGGTAAAATGGAAACTTAAATTCCGTTGCCTTTACAGTAAGTCTATAGCTAGATCTCCTGTTTTCGGTTGGCAATGCCCATGGGAAAATATCATAGACGACATGACGTCGTAGACACTCTGGCGATTACGCCAAAGCTAAGAATATCTTTAAAGTACCGATCTTTCGAAATTATTCTATTTACCGTAATTTGGAGAGAGAAAGATAGTTGCCATCACATTGTGTTTTTTTTTCAATAATTGCATTTTGCTAAATTAAAGATAATTGGCTATCTGAATACCACTGTAATAAACCACAATAAGATCCTTGACCTTGTAGCTAGGCTTGCAAGGTAAAAATGAATATACTTGTTTTAAAACAAGTATATTCATGGACACGTGAACTTTGTATCTCATAATGAGTAGATTGCCACCCACCTTTGAAATATTTTACTTGCTTGAATTTATTTCAGTTACATATCAACTGCTGAAACTGAAATATCTCGTGAACAAGACTTATACAGTAACTTATTTTACAGTTTTTGTGACATTCTCTCTATGAAGCTAAATTAAATGCAGCTTAAATTTTGTTGCGATTACAGTAAATTAAACTTGCCTGTTTCGTTGTCTATGCCATGCATGGGCGAATATCATTGAAGACAGGATGTCGTAGACATTCAGTCTATTAATTACGCTGCCGCTAAAAATATTTTTAAATTATACAAATTTCGAAATTATTC